ACTGACTTCCACAATGTTTTCTCTTCATTTGTTTGAGTGTTCCTGAAACCAACAAGTTGCACTTTGAAATGACCTTATTATTGTTTCATGTTTTTGATCTGAGTTTGTTTTACAGAATGAAATGTCTGAATGAGTGCTCATCCAAGACTGGTGATTCCATACTTTTTGCCAGGGGTTGTATATGTGGAWGGGTCTGTGTACTTTTTGGTCAATTCCTTTTTGTTTTAAAAATGTTGAAAAATTAAAAAAATAAAAACAACAACAACAAAGGGTTAGTCTATTTTATTTTTACTCTCCAAAAACAGAAAAAAAAGTATTTTTCATTTTTGTCAAACCAGAAGTTTAAAAATGTTGTTAAGACAACTCAACGCTGTCCTGGGGAACCTGCTGCCGAACCTATTGCCTCACCATGGTCCACTTTGGGACAGGCTTCATGTGCTAAAAGCACCAGCAGCTCCAGGAAACAGTTTAAACCATCAATGATATACAAACTATCAACTGACATCTGTTGAAGAGATTTCAAACTAGTCAGCTAGCAGTTGTTTATTGTGGTTGCCTGTTTAGCTAGTTATAAAGTACAATGTGTTTATGCATACTGTCGTCAGACTATTTTAGGTGGCACTAGATAACCAGTTTTTAAAAAAGTATTGATAGACTAGATATATTAATTAAAAATGCTCTACAACTTCTAGCTTCTACTAATACTAGAGTTTATAACAGGCAGCTGTGTGTTAATAAAAAGTTATGTAACTAGCTTTGCCTTAATGACAGTGTTAACAAAAAATTGGACTTTTTCCTTTTTTTAACTAAAATGAAAATATATTAACCATCTGTTTTTTGTTTTTAATATCAGTTCTTAAAGTGAAAATAAAGAGAGTATGTTTTAATATTTTTCAGTAACAGTTTTTAGAATGAAAAAAAAAAGAATTTCCATTCATTTTTTTGTTTTTCAATATCTGTTTTTAAAACAAAAATTGGATGACCAAAAAATACACAGATTTGGAGGCAAGAAAGCATTGCCTCTCAAAATGGTGTTTCATTATTATCGCTCGAAAAATCTCTGGTAGTTTCAACAGCCTAAGGTGGTATACATAGCCAAACTGCATCATTATCTGTGCAAGAGCAAACACATCACSCGCTGAAAAAACAAAATTACCAGTGCACAGTGAAGGCTGCGCTTTCACAGACTTGCACGCCACGCCTACATGTCTATGTTACCCTGTTCCAGGACGAAAATTCTAATTACTGCAAAACAAAACAATGGAAGCAGATCCAAGGATCTGTGTTTAATTGAAAGTTGGTGGTAAATCAAGGAAAAAGGAAGTGTATGAGGATGAGCCTGACACCGGAAACAGAAGTAGAGTTTTGCAAAACACAGCTTCTTTTTTTGTCTTCTTTTTTTATTTTTTTAAACCATTTCTCTTGSTTCTAGCACTCCAGCTGCGACCCTATTTAAGTCTTTAATCATATTGCTCACACATGCTAATTCTGCTTCTTAATACAGATTGAATAAAGTAATGAGCTGGTTTAGGCTCAATAATTACAGTTCCCTCTCTGGTCAGCTGATATGAAATAACTGAATATTTTCTGATGAAGCATATAATCTAAGGGTCTTTTACATTTGTTTTTTTTATTTTCTCTGTCTCTTTAAATCTTGTGTCAAGGTGGAGTGGTAGACGAAGTGCTTTGCACCCAACCAGAAGAAATGAAGGATAAAGACTTGCAAAAAATTCCCTATCAGCTCTTCCATGCCTGTATGACTACAAGCTACCATTACCTGTTTGCCAACATACACCACCTGGAGTCTGAGAGGCTGCTGCGAGGCCACACCCATGGCAACCATGCCCATCCTTCCAGCCACTCTTTCCACGTTCCCATGGCGATAGGGGAGGGTTTGGGTGGTGGGGGAGCAGGAGGAGGAGCAGGAGGAGGCGGGATGGCAGAGTGTGAAACTAAGCAGAAGCAACGGCCTGTCAACTTGCGCCACGCTATTGCCACAGTGATCATCACCGGTGTGGTGTGTGGGATTGTGTGTCTGATGATGCTGGCTGCAGCAGTGTACGGATGCGCCTATGCTGCTATCATGGCCAAATATCAGCGGGAGTTGAAGAAGAACGAGGAGCTGGCCGCAGCACAGGGCGCAGATCATGCCACTGCAGACGAGAAGGAACCGCTGGAGAACGCTATTGCCTAAGAGATGAGAACATCTTCTCTGGACTTTAAAACTGAGCCTCATCCCTTTAACCTAACTGTCTCTGGATGCCATATGTGGGCTTGTTGTGTGTTGGGG